TACAGCGTCTGCGTTATTTTCTTCCAGTTCTGGTATTCTGTGGTTCTATCACATAATATCTTGGCATTGCTGTCTAACATCTAAGTCAGGGTTACACTAGAAATTAGCATCCCTGCTGCTGCTTGTATGCAAAGTTACCCTTCTCTTTTTTTCATGATAGCTTTATTGAGATACAATTCACATGCCATAAAACTTACCCTTTTAAAGTATACAATTAAGTGGTTTTTAGTATATTTAAAAAGTTGTACAACTATCACCACTATCTAATTCCATAAAATTTTCATCAACACTCCATACCCTTATTTCGCCGTCCCCCGCATCTGCTGGCAACCACTAATCTACTTTGTCTATGTACTTGCCTACTCTGGACCTTTCATATAAATGGAATCTTGCAATATGTAGCCTTTTGTGTCTAGCTTCTTTTACTTAGGATAATGTTTTCAAGATTCACCTGTGTTATATCATGTATCATTACTTCATATTCCTTTCTAGGTCAAATAATATTCCATTGTGTGGATATACATTTTGTTTATCCATTCATCAGTGGATGGACATTTGAGTTGTTTCTACTTTTTGGCTATTAGGCAAAATGCTGCTATAAACATCCATGTAGGCATACGTTTTCAGTTCTTTTGGGTCTAAACCTAGAAGTAGAATTGCTGGGTTATATGGTAACACTGTTTAACATTTTGAGGAATTACCTACCTATTTTCCAAAATGGCTACACCATTTTACTTTCCACCAGCTATGGATGAGATTTCTAATTTCTCCACATCCTCACCAACACTTGTTATTGTCTATCTTTTTTATTATAGCCGTCCTAATATGTAGAGTGGTATCGCATTGACTTTATTTAGTCCCTTGCATTTCCATATGAATTTTAGGATCAGCTTCTTGATTTCTGCAAAAGAAGGCAGCTGGGATTTTGAAAAGAATTACATTGAATCTGTACATCGTTTTGGGGGAGTATTGTCATCTTAACAATATTAAGTCTTCCAATTGAAGAGCACAGAATGTCTTTCCATTTATTTATATCTTTAATTTTTCTCAACAATGTTTTATAATTTTCAGTGTCTTGCACTTATTTTATTAAATTGATTCCTAAGTGTTTTATTTTTGTGTGTGCTGTTATAAATGGAACTGTTTTCCTAATTTTCAGATTGCTCGTTGCTGGTATTAGAAATACAATTGATTTTTGTATACTGATTGTGTCCTGCAACCTTTGCTATACTCATTAACTCGAATAGTTTCTTGTGTTCTCCACCCTTTCTAATCCAATTTTTGCAGTAAGTTGCTTTAGTGTATTTATCATGTACTATGACTTAAAAGGAAAACCTTTTCTTCATTTTCTAGGAATTGTAGCTGTAGGGTATATCAATGAAGCTATTGACGAAGGAAATCCTTTGAAGACTTTAGACACCTTGCTGTTACCTACTGCTAAGATTAGAAATGTCAATCCAGACTATGCTCAGCACTACCAGGACGTCTTATACCAGGCTAAATCACAGAAACTCAGGGTAAGTCTCAAGATGCTTGTTATTTCTTGTCAACTTGCAGGCCTGGGTGGGGTGGATTTTTGACTCATTTTTCTTAAAGCTCATGAGATTTTGTCCCAGTGATCACCTGTGAATCAGAATGGAAATAGTAAGGCTGATATTTTTTGGTGGCAAACATTAGGGGAAAACCAGGTACAGAGCTGGTTACTGCTTCTATTCTTTAACTAAAACTCTGTTGTGAGTTAGTGTTTTTTTTTTTTTTTTTTGGTGTGAGTTTTTGATGAAGGTTTACACAGCATGTTAGGTTCCCATTTGACAAGTTCCACACAAATTGTTCATTGACATTAACATTTACCACAATGTGTCAGCATTCTCTTTAATTGTGTTCTCTTTCCAGTACTCTAGTTACCCCACCCCCCACCCCCTTATCTTCTCATCTTCCTTTGCTTTGAGAAATTGTTGACCTTTTGGTCACATACTGATGGTTTTTAAGTAGGGCACTGATCTTACAGGTAATATCCTTTATTTTGACTGCCCCTCTGCTATTTCACTAAAAGGTGATCTCAGAGGGTTGGCTCAGTTCTAGGTTAAAATGTATCTCAGTGCAATAGTTTCAGGGGAGTCCTCTGTTCTCTATTGTTCCAGTTTGTTTGGCCCTTTTCTCCCCCTCTAAGAATTTGAGTCCTCCATATTTTTTTCCCATTCTATCCAGGACCAACTATTGTGGCCCTGGTAAGAATGGTCCGTGGTGGTAGCCAGGCACCATCTAGTTCTAGTCTCAGGGTAGATGAGGTTGTGGGCCTTGTATATTTGTTTCTTCTCTCTGTTTTTGGTTCCCTTCTTACCGTACTGTTCCTGGTAAGTCGAAGCCCGTAGTTGTGTCTTGTAGATGGCTGCTTGCAAGCTTTTAAGACCCTAGACACTACTCACTTCACTAGGATGCAGATCATGATTTTTTGAACTATGTTATGCCAATTAACTGAGTTGTCCCATGAGACTACGGTCCTAAGCCTTCAAACTCAGAAAACCAATATTGGAAGGTGTATGTCTGAGGAGCATCCGTATTTGTGTCTTCGATGAATGTATGTGCCCTCACCCACATATTTATATTTATATGTACCTATAGATACTTCTATCTCTTCTCACCTGTGTACGTATCTGTACCTAGCTGTATACCAGTTTGCCGATACCCATCCATATGTGCTCAAACGCTCACTATTACTTTGGTTTTGTTGTGCTCACTACATCTATAATCGGTGCCACTTTTCCCATCACCAAAAATAACTAGTCTCTACTGTATAAAGTGTACTTTCTGTGGGTGAATTCTTGTTCCGAGTTCAATTGGTTGGATATTTACTAAGTACATACCGTGTGCATTGTGCAGTCTGTAGTATTTAGTAAGGAAGAAGGGGATATGGAGGGACACATGGCACCATTTGAATGTTCTGTCTCTACCCTCAAGATGCTTAGAAATGGCAGTGGGCATTCTCATAAAGTGTAATTAAATAACAGTAGGGATTAGTATGTGGCAAAGTATCAAATTGAAGGCTACATAGAGGGATTGAGAGATGGTTGGAATTGTTGTAGACTAGAATCCAAAGAGAAGTTGGCATGGAAATAGAACAGAAGCTGTTCCTGCAAGATAAGGAAGAGATGGTTAAGTAGGTAGAGAGCAGAATGACGCAGGCAAATAATAGAGAGATATTAGCAGATAATAGCAGTTCTAGGTGGGAAGTGCATGTTATTTTCTGGGCATGGGAGGGAACTGACCTGGCCATTGTCCTCTTGAAGAATAGTGGGTTTTATCTGGCTACAGGACATGTACTGATGTTTTGAGAAGTCCCACAGATACTGGCCACTGTTGGAAGGGTACTGGACTGAGGCTTGTGTGACCTGTCACCTGAGGGTAGGAGTGATGCCACCTGGGACCCAGCTACTTGTGGCTGCCATATACCCAGGTGCCAACTGAAAGGGGTAGACATCACCCCTGTATAAGTATTTAGAACCCAGGAACTGCCTCATCTGAAACAGAAACATATTTTGGCTAGAGCAAACATTTATTGAGCACCTACTCTTTGCCAGACATGATATATATTTTATGTATGTTATCTCATTTAATCCTAACAGTCCTATGAAGTAAGTATCATTATTGCCACATTACAGGTGATGAAACCAAGGTTAATCAACTTGTCCAAAGCCATCTAAAAACATATTATAACTCAGGTCTGTCTAATTCAAAAACATGTTATTGTGCATTAAGGCCAATGGAAAAAGATGTTTATTACAACATTGTTATAGCAAAAGACCAGAAACAACCTAAATGCCCATCAAGAGGAGGCTAGTTAAATAAATTCTAGCATATCCATACAGTGATATACATTAAAAAAGATGTGTGGATCTATATTGAGCAATCTTTAATATGTATATTGTTAAATGAAAAAAGCATGTTTACATTTCTGTGTGCATAAAAATGGGATACACACCCATTTAACCACTTTTGGTCTATAAAATTACAGACTTAGCCTATATTGGCAATTTGCCAACAGATTTTAAACACTATGATTCCAAGCAATGAATCAAATTTGGTTAAACTGCTATTTTAAAGCACAGTTTTCCTTTACAGCACATTGCTTTTGAAGCTTTCTTTTCTCAACCTGTTGTTTTTCCCTGGAAAAATCTGATTGGGTTGTTTGTTTGGCAGGATCTTGGTTTTGTTTTTTAATCTCTGCTATTTTGATACCTGGAATTTTCTGATTGTGTTTCTTATGGTTGTATTTTTGTGCCTTGCCTTCCAAGGTCTAGCCTTGGAAAATAATGGAAGAAAATTAATTACGTCACTGGTATCATCAGTGTAAAGTAAAACTTGTATCAAGGTACACAGCCATGAAAGATCACTGTGAGTAGCGTCTTCAGAAAACAGGTACTCAGTTTTACCAGAGATTGAGGACAGTGACATAAGTTGTGGATTCTTGGTCCTGTTTAACAGTATTTCCAGTATAACCTTGTGTTGTACTTGATTCCTTTTGTTTCTTGGGGAGAGGATGTGAGGTAGGGATGTTGACATACACTTGGCAGAGTAGAACACACTTTCTACGTCTATTCCCTTGAGGCATTCTCTTGGGAGCTGTTTTAAAATTGAAGGCTTTTCTTGAGAGTATATGATTTATATCCCACCAAAATACTCTGTTTTGCTTACTTATATGTTTACTCCAAAAAAATTGTGTTTTTAATAAACAAATATTGCTGTATTTTTCCCTTAGGTAAAATTGTGTTATGGTTGATAACTTTTTTTTGCAAAAGCCAGTTCCCTCCAATGATGTTTTTTCATCTTAAAACTTATTTTAGATTTTTCTTGCTTGTTTTAGTGTTTACCTGATTTGCATTTTTCACATAACCACACACTTAGCTGTACAGGGTCTTCATATGAAGTTTTTTTGCCTAAATCCAATGAGATAGATACGAAGGAACTAAGAAAACTCTGCCCATTCACAAATATGCATTTAGATGGGTTTTTTTTTTTTAATTCTTTTCTTGGTTATTACAAAGTATATGGTCAATGCACATTCCTACTGTAAAAGTAAATGGCATCTCCACAATCCTTCATCCTTAAAGATTTCCTTAACCTCATTCGTATTCACTAACACCACCCCACCCTTAACCACCAATACCCCACTTCTGGCTAATCCCTCAGCAAAGGGAAACATAATTATTCACCTACAGCAATATACTGGACATTTATAATAAAACACAGTTTTCCCTGTTAAGAACTATATGTATGCAAGGAATAGTGGAAGGGTTATTTTAAAATTTGAAATGACCTTATGAGTATACTTTTATTTTATCGTCCTTACTTTTTTTTAACATCTCCAACCAGAAGTGATGTTCTGTGCAATACGGACCACCTTGCCCTTTCAGCATGACTTTAACGGGCTTTCATGCTGTTAGGATGCTTTGGGATTTTATTCATTCATGCATCCAGCAGCATGGTCTGCAAAGCTTGGGGCTAGGACCCACAGAGGCTGAGAAGACTTGACCCTGGGGTTGCCACAGAGCTCAAAGAAGGGAGAGGATAAGCACCTTCTCCACTATACACATAGTGCTTTATGTGTGTTTATGGAATTATTATTTGCTTGTAAATGAGCTATTTAAAAGTGCTGTAATAAAAGTGGAAGAACGGTCCTCTGAGGACTTCAAGAGTTGGACAAACTTGGGACAAAAATGATAGAATTAGCTTTCTAGTCAGAGGCAGGAGAAAGAGAGGAGAAGTCTAGATCACAGCAAAGCAAGAAGTTTAGCCTGTGCCTACCTCATATGCAAGGTTTAACAGGAAAAAGGATAATAAAGTTAGCCCTGAATGCCAGATTGAAAATTTATAATTTGTTCCAGAAGCAGTGTATAGTCAATGACAGATTTCGAGATGGCGTTTTTGAGTACTGGATTCAAAGTGATATTTGAGGAAGATTAGTCTGGCAATTACCTGCGAAATGGAGGGTAGCTTGGCAGTGAGGAGAATGGTTAGAAGGCAAAGGTGGGACTCGGATCCTAGTGAGAGACATTACAAAGATAGCAGAAGTTGCAAAGATAGAATCAGCCACCCATATGAGAATCAAAGGAGACAGAAGAATAAAACATGATGCTAAATTTCAGTGATGGCACTGCCACTCACAGAAATAGGAAGGAGAAAAAACTAGAAGAGAATTTCATTTGGAGGTGTAAGGATTTAAACTACCAGAAGACAAATGGAAACGTGTAAGTTGTCACAAAGAAAGTGACAAAATCTTTTCTAATGAATCGTAGTCTCAAAATACTGATAAAGTATTTTAAAAAATTGTGCTTTTGTTGTGACGTTTAATTTTGAAGCATTTTTTCTTTGGAGTACTTACATGTAAGTATAGGATAGAGCTCCTTGCACTATGCGTATGTTATCCCAAGAATGTATATTTTCACACATGGCTTTCCTCGTTCTCTAAGATGATTTCACCATTGTAGGATAAGCAGTGGAATGATCTGTGATTTTTGACATGAGAAAATAAAGGAATGGATCTAGGCAACTATTTAGGCTACCCAGGCACAAAGCTATGAGATAGATAAAGTATAAGCCATCAGTGCTGTTGTAGTAGTAGTTAGTATGGTGAATAATGAGTATAATATTGCTTGGAGCAAAGCAAATGGTAAAAATCACAAGGATGAGGAGACTTGCCTTCACTGACCGTAACCATCTATGATCATGTGCATTAAGTGTCCTAATGATGGCTGTGTAGCAGAAGATGATGACCACAAACGGAATTAAGAACCCAAAGAATGCCAAGGAAATGAAGTAGTAGATTTGGAAGGGAGATGAAGACTCGCATGTATTGTGGACATCATGGCAGGTGGTGCTATCGGGCTGGACAAGATAGTACTCCTGCTTCAGGATGAAAAATGGCAGCATATATAAGAAAACCATTGCCCACACTAATCCACATGTTAGCAAGGCGTAGGTGCGCTTGGGCAGCCCCCGGTAAGTGAAAGGGTAGACAATGGCCAGGTAGCGGCTAATGCTGATACAGGCGAGGAGCAGAATAGAGCAGTACATGTTGCCATAGAAGATGACAGTGGTGGCCCGGCACATGACCTCTCCAAACACCCAGTTGTTCCCACTGAGATGGTAAGCTATCTTAAAGGGTAGTGTGATACAAAAAAGAAAATCCGCAATGGCCAGGTTGGTGTAGAAGATGGCCGTACTGATGGATCTGGTCCTGAAGATGAGCATCCATAGGGTAACTGCGTTGGCTGGCACGCCAACCATGAATACCAGGATATAGATGGTGGGTATCAGTCTGGTGCTTAAGGAGCTTCTCAGATACCCCATGGTAGCATTATTCACGTGGAGATTTGAAACACCTTCTTCAGGACACTTAGTTTTTACAGTTATGGTGGCTCCCGTCCAGCCTTCTATGGCAGAAAAGGGAAACTCTTCAAAAAAATTTTGGGGATCACCACGAAAGGTCTTAATAGGTAAAGTTGGCCCTGCCAAGTTGTCGGCGTCATTTTCCATGCCTGTAATTGAAAGAAGTATTAGTATATGATTTGTTGCAGAACCATATCTGCGCTTCAGGAGAAAATAAAACTAAGTATCTTATGCTGCATAATTTCTGTAGTTCTAGAATTAGGGTCATTTTTATTTTAAAAAAGTTTTATAGGTCAGACAATCAACAGTACATATACCCCAGCACCATGCTATCCTTGCAGGAGCTGTTAGAAACTAGATGAGACCTTGCAAGTAAGGAGTTTATATATATTGTGGGGAAGACAAAAATAGTGCATCAGACCATTATAGGCCAATGTCATGTTGATGATGAACTCTGTAGGCGTTCAGGCAGTAGTTAACAGATTCAGGTATTTGAGCAAAATGTCAAGGAAAAGATGAACTTGAGCAAAAGTGAGCAAGGTTCATAAAGTTGAAATTTAATAGATCAATAATATTCTGGTAGGTGATGAACGGACAAAGACATACTGTGAGTTGACATGGGATTTGGGAGTGTTGAAGTTGATTCAGCAAATGTTTATTGCATACTTACATACCAGTGGTATAAAGTTTTAATAAATCCCATCTCTATCTTTACTAACTTTCAGGCTAGCAGACAGGTGCATAAATACATTGTCTTACAGGAGATGATATTGAGCAGGTAGATTACAGCCAAATTCCTGAAGGGCCTCTGAACTTTCCTAAAAAATCATGTGCTTATTCATAAATTTTGAGGGATCGCACATACAAGATTTTCAACAGAGAAATGACCAGTCTGGTAGACAGTAGCTCCCCAGAGATTCCACATCCTAATCCTTAGAACCTGTGAATATGTTACCTTACATGGCAAAGGGGGCTTTGCAGGTGTAATTAAGGAAATTGAGATGGGGAAATTGTCCTGGATTATCTGGATTATAGGCCCAGGGTAATCACAGGGGTCCTGATAAGAAGAAGCCAGGAGAATCAAAGTCAGAGAGAAAGGTTTGAAGATATTAATGCTGCTAACTTTGAAGATGGAAGAAGGGACCATGAGCAAAGGAATGCAGGCAACATCCAGAAGCTGAAAAAGACAAAAAAACAGATTCTCTTCCTAGAGCTTCCAGAAATAGTGCAGCCCTGCCTACACCTTGATTTTAGGACTTCTGACCTCCAGAACTGTAAGATATTAAATCTGTGTTGTTTTAAGCCACTAAGTTTGTGGTAATTTGTTGCAGCAGCAATAGGAAACTAATACACTCATGATTTGACTTGTGTTTAAGGTGACTTTGGTTGACAGTGTAAAGAATAGAGTGGAAAGGCTAGAGGCAAGGGGGCCTGATTTAAAGGCTACTGTAATCATTCAAACTGAAGATGATGAGTTACTGAATGAGAGCAATGGTGGTGGAAAGGAGGGATGAACACGAGAGACTCAGTGATGAGGGCTCAAAGGGACTCGTCATCTGATGGACTGTGGGGGGCGGTAAGGGAGAGGCAGGAGGCAAAAGAGTGACTCATGACTTCTACTCCAGATGACTTGGAGGAGGAGGATGCCATTAACTGAGTTGCGGGAACAAGGGAGCAAGACTGAGGGGAAGCTAAATCTCAGGTTTTACTATTACTGAGTTTGAATTGTGGGTGGTATAGCAATGTATGAAAATGGCTGGCAGGGTTGGAAGACTAAGTGTAGTGTCCAAAATTCCAGGAGCCCAGATTAAAGGTATGGGTTTATTAGTCTGCATAGAAGTTGTAGTTTGATTTAGTAGAAGTAGTTGAGATGGTCTAGGGAGAGATGTGAGAAGAAAGAATCTAAACGTAAACTTTACGGAAAATGCCTGATTTTTAAGGGGCAAGGTCACAAATATCAGAAGGTGAAATCAATATGGTGCCTTAGAAGATAGGAATGAATTTTAAAAGCATAGAAACACATCAACCACATACTATAAGTATTTGGCATTACATTGCATGCAGATATTAGTAATCCTAATTTCTGAAAAGGCAGTTACACAAACAAACTTGAATGGTCAAACCTGTTTATCATGATACAATTTTTCCATTAATTAATCTTTGATGTGTATAGAAAATTCCAGTTACCGGTGAGTCAGTTCTGATTAATGGCCACCTCCATGTGTGTCAGAGTAGAACTGTACAATATAGGGTTTTTAATGGCTGATTTTTCAGAAGTAGATCACCACGCCTCTTCCAAGGTGCCTCTGGGTGGACTTTCAGTTAGCAGAGTGCATTAGCCGTTTGCACCACCCAGGAACTCCGTATAGAAAATAGATTCTCTCAAATTTCTAATGTTACCTTAAGATGGTAAATATAACCTCATACTTATTAATTAAAGAGGTCAATGTTCTGCCAGTTACGTCTTTTCACATGACCTCTGAATTCCTACTGGTTGAAAATTTGTGGTTAGTGTTTAGTAACCCGTTTCTCATTCATAGTTTCTCTTCCTGCTTTAATCTCTAGCAGTTAGCCCTAAGGTGAAATGAAGCCTTTCTCATAAGCCTGAGATTGCACAACTGAATTCAGCATGTAAAGTAGAGGGAGAGTGTTACCTCAACAAGTAGGCACATGTGGGTGATCGGTGTCACTTAAGGAAAGGTAGCACGATTAAAGAAAAGGGAAGAAAAATGTGGGAGGTGGCATTCTTCTGTGCCATCTTTGAAGGCATGTTGTGTGAGACTTCCGTTCAGCCACAGGAGTCCTTCCACTCATTTGTGTATTTTGGAAATGTTCTTGCACCAACGTCACCCACAGAGACTGCTTTTAAAGACGGACACAAAACTGGAAAATGATGGATTAAGAAACATGCTGTACAAGTAATCCCTTCAGGATTTGATAAGAGAGCTACTGAAACCAAGTGTTTTGTTTTCAGAAATTCCTGTGATTGAGCAAGACATGGTGCCTAAAAACGTATACCAGTCACTGTGTTTGTGAAAAGCTGACTGGATTCCATTTTCTACTAGAATTCCAGATCTAGTTCAGCGTAAATAAATCTTTTATTCCTTAGAGCCCAGTTCCTGAAAATAGGACTCAATGTAAAATTTTATGTAAAAAAAAACAAACAAACTTTATTTGAATTCTTTATACAGGTTCAATTTGGCATAATGTTTCTGAAATGTTTTTCTATCTGAGAAAAGGCCATGGAAGAAAACTAATCCAAAATTCAGCCACTAGGTAATGGTTCCTTCCTTCAGTGCCTCGTATTTTTCCCCCTACCCCAATCAAAAAAGGCACATTCACTTGTTTTGACTTACTTTACCTCCTTTAAATTCCCTTCTTTTCAATTTCACCAGAGCCCACTAGCATCCTGAAGGAACCACCTCCACAAACCTCTGTTCTTTTGCAATTCTGCTGCTCAGCATTTGGCTCATCCGCGCCAGAAAGAGCATTTACTTATCCTATTCATAGATTCCGCATGTGCTGCTGCTGTCTGCAAATTCTCTTAGAACTTTTCTATAACCTCTGGGATTCCAACTATCAATTTAAGCAATAGTCCCTTACAAGGGTGGTGGTGGTGATTTTCTCACTGTAGTCTTCCCTCACTACCCCCTTCCAACTCTTAACAGTGTTGACTGGAGATGACATAACAGTAGAAGGTTGTGGGTACAGACCAATCACAGATTTGCTAATTTTGGAGCAAGCAGGTTACAGGCTAACGTTGTGATAGGTGAAATAGGAAACTCATTAACAGTTGAATAATGCCCTTTGGGAGATCTGATTTCTAAAATTAAAAATTCATATATGAGGATGAGAGAACTCGCTCCTACCATTGAAAGTCAAAAAGATATTTCATTTGGGAAACGCTGATTTGTTATTTACATCTCAGCATCACTGGCGTTTGAAAGCAGATGATTTGCTCTGTCTAGCAATATTTCTGTTTCCCCCCATTTTGTTTATACCAGGAGGTATAAACATAGGGCTTTTCTTTTTACCCCTTGTGAAAGTACTATCCTGGCTGAATCAGAGAAAATTCTTAAAAAGCCAAAAACTTCTCACAAAGAACATTGATTTTTGGCTTAATTGTAGATACCTAAAATCTTGATTATGGCACAAATTTTTTAAACATCGGCAGAGAACACTTAGTCAGTGGCAAGATTTGAAAGAGTGAACAAGCTGTAGATACTTCCATGACTTCACCATTTAATAACTAAGATCAAGCTCTGCCTTTTTTGGTTTGTAGTTTGTGTGAAATGTAAAGAAAATTAGGTTCAGCTGACTCAATGCATAACATAAACCAACACCCCCACGCCACCCCATAAGAAGGAGCTTACCACTTTGACAGAAAGTGGACGGCAGAAGCAGTAGCCCAGCAGCTGCAAACATGAGAGCTTTCATTTTGATGACCTGAGTCCCAATTCTCAAATGGTTATCAGATGTATAAAGTTACAGAACACAGTTGGAAGCACGGTTTCGCATCAGTTCCATGTGCTATCAGTAAATGGAAATCCGTCTCCATAGAAGTTTGCTCCCCTGTGCTCTGCAGGCAGGAAACTCGCCTTGTCCTCTGCAGGGAAAGGGTGTGACACCACTGATTTTCAGTATGCAGTGACTCAGGCTGAGCCTCTGGCCAACAGAAGCACGCTACGTGATACCCAAGAAAGTCCTTTAACTCTTACTCATCCCTAATAATCCGTCTTGAATAGGCTGTAATTCCCACACAGTGTAGTTATGTTCATTTAAAAAAGAAAGCAGAACTTATACGGTCCTTTACAGAAGGCAGCTGAAAATTGATGCGAACAGTTAGTTTTGAATCTGCCCCATCTCTCATTTTTACCCATTTTTAAAGCGCAGTTTCTACTTCATAACTGAGCTGTCCGAAATTATCCTTTCTTTTATTCTCCCAGCTGTTTCAAAAGTTAGTTCTTGAGCTCTGTTACATAATTATAAATTTAACCAATCATGGAAGATCAACATTGTAAGATGTTAAAAGTTTTGGGTGCTTGACTACTTTGAAAATTCTCCATTAGTGTCACATTGGCCTGAATTTGTCATCAGTGCTTAGCCAGAACTTGATTTTGTGAATTTGTGTTTGTTTGTTTTCGTTTGCTAGTTTTGAGGGGTTTTGTTTTGTTTGTTTTTGCCACTGCTCAGTGTGTTCTGAGCTTCTAATTAAATCTCATCAAACCAAGATTTTTACAATCAAAGGTAAGTGGTTAATACTTCAGCTACATAATGTATGCTAACACAAACTGAAAAAGAATGCCATATTGAAGAAATTATAACAAAAAAAATATGAAAAATACATTTTATTTAATTGAAAATTTTCTAGGAATCATCTAAATTCAGGAATTTATTATTTGATTTGCACATGGCCTAGTTTCTGTTCATTTAATCCATCTGTAATTCATATGCTGAACCTGGCTGTTTAGCTGGAGATAGAGCCATCCATAAAAATGAAATTATTTCCAGTTTCTGGTAATGCAATTTTGGAAAGGAGATTTTACTTTGATAAAATTCAGTTTTTACTCTTGGTTTTATATTTAACTCTATCTTCAGTTTGGAGCCTTGGTGTCTCAGTGGTTAAGAGCACGGCTGCTAACCAAAAGGTCTGCAGTTCGAATCCACTAGATGCTCCTTGGAAACCCTGCGGGGCAATTCTACTCCGTCCTACAGGGTCGCTATGAGTCGGAATTGACTCGATGGCAGCAGGTTTGTTTTTGTTTTGGGTATCTTCAGTTTAATGTGTCACAATTTAAATTGTTGACTTAAATTCATTTGATTTGCAAAATCTCTCTTTAGCTTGACTTGTAAACCTAATACTTCAAAGGGGTATTGTCATTTTCTTCTCATTTGGATAGTTTGTGCTGGTGCTTCTTCTGCAGTGGTAAGTTACGAAGGAAGATGGGTAAATAAGACAGATGTAAATGAACTTGTATACAGCTTAGTTTTTTAGACAATAGAATAAGAAATGTTAAATTGTCTTTGGGCTTGGAAACACAGAATAAAATAGTTCCCACTCCCCCGTCCATTCATACCTCCTCTAGTCTTTGCTTCCCATCTTGCTTCCTGTTTGAAACTTCCCCATACATTCTCAAAAGAAATGGAACATATTACTGACAGCTGATGGGTCCCATGTGGCAGGTCTGGCTAGAGATGATTGTGGAGGCAGGGCCAAGCCTCCCTTCCTCCAGCGGTCTCTGACAGCCTGGGTGTTGCAGGAAGAAATAACAACAGTCATTTCTCTCATTTTCAGAGCCCTTTTCACACACTTTAGCCTCTGAGGGAAATAGGGTTAGAAGCCTGTGGGTAGAGCTGGAGAACGTTATTTTTCCTTCCTGCTCCCATCCATCTTGAGTCCTAAATGATAGAGTTGGTTTTCCAAAGCACCCTATGGCTCCAAGCCCAGAGTCACTACCTCCCACTCATCACTATCTTGCTTTAGGATTTAGGACACAACACTTGCTCCTACACATAAGCAAATATTCCCATTTTTTTAAGTGAAATGACTCATTCTCCCTAAAAATATTTCATTTCTACCTCCTGATAGCAAAATTTACTTGCAATCTTGGACACGCTTTTGTAAAGCATAGTTGCTAGTTGGAAGTCATACATAATAAATTAGATGTTAGAATTGCATTTGTAGCAGGATCATCAGAATCAACCCAAAGGCAGAACTGTAAGATAATTCAGTACATTTTAATTGCTGCTGTCACTTCCTCTCTGAAGCCATCCTCCACCAGCAACTCAGCACTCCTACCACAAATTAATCCCTTCTTAGCTATTTCTAGTTATGTGTCTACAGCTAGTATTGCACTGAATATGTTGTATAATGATTATTTCTTGACACGTCTGTCTCTTCTACTAGACTGTTAACCCCTTGAGGGCAATCACCATGGCTTTGTTTGTTTCTCTGTATCTTAGTGTTCTATAAATGTCATGTATCACCGTGTTTCCCTCAAATTTAATATACCCCATGTTACCCTGGGGCATCTTGGGACATAGTTTGGGAACCACAGTTAGAGTGATTGGGGGAGAGGAGGAAGTATTTAACTAGAGCAGTCAGGGAGGGCTTTGTGGAGGAGGAGGCATTTGAGTTGAAGCCTAAAAGAGAAAACTAGTCAGAGGGGGCGTGAGGTGAAGCCAGAGGGGGTAGGTAGAGCCAGATCATTAGAGCTTCACAGTTCATGGGAAGGGAGGCTATGCTTCATTCTAACTGCAGTGGGAAGCCTTTGGAGGATTGTAAGCAGAGGACGGACTGACTGACTGTGATGAGATGTACATTTGTAGATCATCTGGTTCTCTGTAGAAGACTACTGTGGCAGAAGGCAAACTTCGAAGCAACAAAAGCAGATAGGAGACCAGTGCAGCCGTCTGAGAGGTGACAGTGGAGAAGTGACCAGTGGTCAGACTGGCTCTATTTCATAAGTAGCTTTTACAGTAGGTAACAGTGTTTGGTAGCTGCTAAATAAAACTTTGTGGAAACTAATATAAAATGGCTTCTGATAAGCAGTTATTCGTTCTGTTTCATCATTCATTTGCTCTTCTTTCTTTCTTTTATTCTGTGACATTGTTTCCAGGACTCTGAGTCTGCTTCTAATGTTCTTTGGCTGGATGAGATACAGCAAGCAGTCGACGAGGCCAACATGGACAAGGACCGAGCAGAAAAATGTGAGCACTTGCCTTTTTTCACTGCTGAACTTGCCTTTTTAAAATTTAGTTACATGCTTGAATCATGTAATTTTTAATTTCTGAAAAGATTTGGACTCTCTTACCCAAGTTTTAGTCCTTGGATGTGTATTTATACAAAAATAAGATTAATTAATTGTACTGTGTTCAGAGATTAGATTCTGTCTCCGGTATTTCGGAATGCTACTGAACAAAATCCAGGGAGCAAAAAATGATATCTAAGCTCTTAAATTTTATAACTGAATCAAATCCTTTTTTATCTTGATCCTTAGGAAACTAGCCCATTTCTGCTTCATAAATGCCTATTCTCTCTGTCATGTCTTCCATGATTCAAATGATTAAAAAATTTTACTTTAAGCTTCAATTTTTAGGAGATATGGTATGAAAACTTCTGTGAAAATTTAAAACAGATTCTAAATGGTACACTAATACTCAAAATATACTAATAACCTATACAAATTTAAATAAGATTCTTAAAAGTATAGTTAATTAACCTGTCCATTCATGGCATAATTTAGAATCTATTAGGTTGTGTCAGGTTGTAGGATGCTGCTGAGATGCCTTAGTCTTGCTTCATAGATGTGCTTTTAAACTCTGGAAGCATCTGTGAGAAACATCTGGTTTTTATTTCCTTAGCCTGGAACACTATCTGAATTTCTCCAACCTGAACTTCTATACTCTTAGGAACTTAGAAGTCTTCCCTTTCTAGCAGTCTAGTTCTTAAGAAAAAATTAAAATTAAAATTGAGACACATATATAAGAGGTTTAAGTTTTAAATGTAAAAGTGAAGAGAAGCCATAGTCTGAAGACACAATTTAAGAAATTAGTTTGTAATTGTTTTTGTTGTTAGTTGCTGTCCAGTTGATTCTGACTCATGGCAACCTCCTGCGTGCGGAGTAGAACTGCTCTATACAGGCACTCAAATAGCCTAAAATGGTTAATGATGTTTCTTGTCGAGATCAAACTAATTTAAGAAGGTATTTTATTCCTTCTGTTGTGGATTCTTCTTACATTTGGCCTGCAAATGTTACATTGATTGTTTACTACATTGAGACTCACGGCCTGTTAACTATAAAAAGCAAGAGGTTTTCTCGGATATGTGCGATTCGGTATTGCGCACTTGTGCATTGAAAATCCTGCCTTTCCCTCTGTCCTGTCTCTCTGAGAGTTGATATACTTACTTCTACAATTTATAACAACAAAAAAGTTGTTCTGAAGTTGAAAACCATCCACACTCTGACATTAGAATGAGAATTTTCCGGTTTTTCAACAAGGAATTTAATCTTAATTTTAAAAACATTTTCTATCCTTTTTTATGAAGACTTGAAACAGATTCTGGTCATGTGTTGTAAGCATCAAACCCATCCCCAGATCATCTGATAAAAGGAAATGTGTTTGCCCATATGTTCTACCACAGGCAAAATTTAAAAGGGCAGAGTAGCCCAAGTCTCCTTCACTTGACTCAGTGTGCATTTTCACTGGAGGTTCTTGCTCATGTGAAGTAGGTTTGCCTCTACTATGACTCCTTAGAGCAGTGTTTCTCAACCATTTTTCATTGTTGCCCCTAAAAAGTCTTCTAGACATTTTTTTCCTAATCGCCCCCACCATAAAATTTTATTACCAGACACATATATCTGTTTATGTACTGTATGTAGATCTGTGCTTTATACATAAAAATATTTTTCACACACCCCACAAGGACCAATTTTTGCCCTGTTGGGGTGGTATTGCCCACACAGAGAATATATACCTTAGAGAGAACTTGCTGGTATATTGCTTAAAGTGTACAGCAGACATTTTTTTGGATCTCTTGGGAGATTTATGGAAGGTTTCTTATTTGTTCCTTAGCAGGAACATACCTGACTTTCTGGAGTTCAGTAACCTCACATCCTTAACTATCTGAAACTTAACCACAAACCCACAGATTAAACAAAAAAGCGTCAAATAGATGTCTTAAAACCTGCGTATAGGAGCTAACGTGCTTTATTCAATGGGGACCCCTCGGCCAGACACTTTGGGTCTATTTGTTCTTATCTTAGGCATGACTCTAATATGCTTGGTTGTTTCTCTTTCAAACTTGGAGCACAGCAGAAGCAACAAATTACAAGGAGGTTAAGTGTTTGGGCTGCCATACGCAGGCACACTGACAGCAGCAAGAAGAATTAGCTGGTAGTGAAGGAAGAGGGAAAAAAACTAAAAAACATAGGAGGTTTGAGGCCATGTTGTGCAGGAGCAGGTCTCTGGATGGTGCAAACAATTTACGCTTGTCTACTAACTGAAAGGTTGGTGGTTCAAACCCACCCAGTGGCACTGCGGAAGAAAGGCCTGGCGTTCTGCTTCTGTAAAGATTACAGCCAAGAAAAGCCTATGGAGCATCTATGCTGTAACACATGAGGTTGCCATGAGTCAGAATCAACTTGATGGCAACAGATTATACAGGAGCAAGTAAGTCCACATACCTCCATAGTCCTTGAAAGTATCACTCTTTGTATTATAACACAGTATAATTTTAATGACACAAAGAATTTTTCTGGCAGATCTCAGCAAACATTAAGCACCTACTATATACCAAGAACAATGGCTAAAAGGGTAAGCAGGATAGAGACCATTCCGTTCTTATGATCTTCTCCAAGGCACATGTTAGATTTTTATGGGAAATAGTTCTATTAGAATAACTATTGATACATAAAGGAGTAAGCTGCAGTTATCTGGAAGACTAACCTGTGGCCCAGCTCCTTACACATCAATATTTGATGATAAAGAACATACTATAAGCAAGAAATGTATGCCTCTAAAATAACCCCTTTTAAAGAAATTACATTTTACTGAGTTAGATGGTGAGATGAAGCTGTCAGATGTAATTCATGTGAGTATTCTTCTTTGCCATTTACTTACTCCTGCATCTCTCAAATCACAAACTTCTCAGATGCTAATACCCCCATTTTTCCCTATTCTACAAAGCTTTTCTGAAGAACAGGAAAGAGGAGCAGTTTACTTGCTTCCTATTAACCTCTGTAAGCATGAGGACATAACTGTTATACCTTTATTCAGAAACTATTGGACTTTGCTACGGAAGTTCTTCTTTAGTCTTTGTGTCTTCCTCCATATTTGGATGATTTCAATTCCAGGCTATTGATGGTCAGAACTCTGTTTTTCTTGCCCCATTCAGCCCTCATAGTGATATGCACATGTGAACATAATTTGTTGACAACAGTATGCCATTTAGCACTTGTATGGGTAGACTCGACAGCAACAGGTTTGGTTTGGTTTTGGTTTGCTTAACTTTGGCATGTGTGTATAAAAAAAATACATCTACCTCTCCCATCTCTTTTCATCTATAAAATATTTTTACCTGATTTCTTCCATTTTTTTGTTCTATATTTCTAACAGTGTGTACACGGGTTGTGTAAACAGTAGTTCCATTGGTTGACCCAGAACATTCTTACATAGATCATAAAGAATTCACCAAGTTAACTTTCTTTCGACACCCAAGAGTTCGGTGTAGTTTTATTTATGGGGAGAGACAGAAACTTGAAGTGGGATAAAATGCTTTCTAGGTCTAAATTGGTTCCAGAATGAAGTTTCTGGACTCCATTGCACACATCCACCTGATGTGCCTGCCTAGGACATCTGTTTAGGTTGTTTAAGACAATGTCATGAAGTATGACACCACTATACAGAAGAATATCAGACTGTCCACAGCTTCAATAGCATTTTGCTTTTTCTAAGATAAATAAATGTCTTTATAAAACTGGTTCTCAAATATTGATTAACGACCTAATCAAAGCTGCATATCTCCTGTTGGGGTGCATTCACCCCACTTCATAGATTACCGTAGTAAGCAAAACCTAGTATCTTGATACCACACGAGAGTAACCAATATTGAGTAAGGAAATAGTGCAATTTTAATAAACCATGCTCCCTAGGATCTTATTATTTTACAACCTAAACTGGTAGGTAAATTGGTGACTGGTTTGGGTATATGTGGTACATTCTCTCAGAGTAAAAATGAAGGTTCCTGGGTTGTGCAAACAGTTTGTGCTCGGCTGGTAACCAAGAGGTTGGCAGCCTGAACCCATTAGTGGCACCGCAGATTGAACAGGCCTGATGATCTGCTTCCGTAAAGATTACAGCCAAGAAAAGCCTGTGGAGCAGTTCTAGTCTGTAACACATGGGGTCTCCAAAAGTCACAAAAACAACAACAGTGAAGAGTAAAAAGGTTTAATACCAATGCATTCCATTCCCAAAAGGTTAAATTATATATTTGCATGCCTTTAAGGAAAGTTGAAGAAAACCACTAACAGAAGCATTATTTTCATTACCCAGGGGTTACTCTGGTCATTGACGTTAACCAGTTTTTGGAGAGACGAAAACCAAGTGATACTTTGTCTGTATTGACATCTTCCAGTCTGGATGCAAATGACATAATCCCCGAGTGTGCTAACGAGTACTACGATGCTCTTCTGAAGGCAAAAGAACAGAAATCTCAAAATGGTAAGCTTTTTCTTTACTTAGTACAGAGTAAATATAATTGTGAATGTGATGATTTCTGTAATACTATAGTTTCTTAATTTTAAGACAAAAATGTTGCTCAATTCTATTCCATTGGTCTATGTGTTTGTCTTTATGCCAGTACCACACTGTTTTCATTACTGTAGCATTCTAATAAGTTTTGAAGGCTCTTTACAGAAAGAAATTTGCCAACCCTTGTTTTAGAAAGAAAAGAAGCTTTCCAAGCAGTTAAAGACTATAACCCCCCAAACAGAGTTGTGAACATTGTTCTGGGAGTGAAGAGGATGATTTATTCTTATCTCTTTCTCCTCTGGTTCTAGTATGTCTCCTCTTTCCCAAGCTGATATGTTCCTCTTTAGGTGG